AAACATAAACCGAGCACAACCAGAACATAAACGACATAAAATCAACATAACCTAAACATAAACAGAACATAACCTGAACATAAACTGAATGTACCTAAACATAAACTAAACATAAACAAGCATAACCTGAACATAACCTAAACATAAACAGAACATAACCTAAACATGAACAGAACATGACCTGAACATAAACTGAATGTACCTAAACATAAACTAAACATAACTTCAAGCATAACCTGAACATAACCTCAACATAACCAGAACATAACCTAAAAATGAACAGAACATGACCAAAACATAACCTTGCCTCAATATAACCTAAACATAAACAGAACATGACCTAAACATAAACTTATTGTAACTAAACATAAACTGAACATAACCTGAACATAACCTAAATATAAACTGAACATAACCTAAACATAAACAGAACATAACCTAAACATAAACAGAACAAAACATGACCTGAACATAAATTTAATGTAACTAAACATAAACTGAACATAACCTGAACATAGCCTGAACATAACCTAAACATAACCTCAACATAACCTCAACATAAACAGAACATGACCTAAACATAAACTTAATGTAACTAAACATAACCTGAACATAACCAAAACATAACCTCAACAAAACCTAAACATATACAGAACATGAGCAGAATATCCAGCGCCAGAGCAAGTTAGCTGTGCAAGATATCATAGCAACAATTAGTGATCAAACTTAAGCTACCTGCATGGTACCTATAACTCAGCACTGGTGCAACCTAAACTGAAATAAAAGCGGCTAGTCCATTTACACTGTACAGGCTTATACCATATCATATCATGTAGAAATCAGATCTATGACAATATATATGCAAATTACATGTATGACAAGTTCATGTTTAGATTTCACATGTAAAAAAAAATGTTTTTTATTTATTTAAAATATTGCAAAAATTTCTGTTTACATTTTCTTTTCAGCCATTGGAATAGCAAATATGTACATGTATGTTCACATATATTAGCTATTATTGTATATATATATATATGTGTTTATATACAGCTATATATCAGCTTCCCGTATGGGATGTTGTTGATTTAAATGTCCGTTCCCACCATTTGCAATGCTAAATGTGATGAAGAAGCGTTTGTCCACGTCTAATCAGCGGATCTCTCGGAAAGGCTTTAAAGGAAGTGATGTGTTTTCCATGATGAATTTCATTAGCTTCCAGAAATTTCCACCCCTAAAGGGTTAATTACGTTGATAATGATCAAAGCTCATGGTTTTGTGGATGGGGGGGCCTGGAGACGCAGCTATTTCAGTTTTATTACCTTTGTTCACACACACACACACACACACACACACACACACACACACACACACACACACACACACACACACACACACACACACACCCTCCTGTTTGTTACTTTACTGAATAATGTGAATGACTAAAACACACACACACATCATATGGCTTAAATTTTTTTAATAATCTTGACTCTCGGACTACATGACAATGTTAAACAGTCATTATTATCAGTCAACTCTATCAGACTTTTTCATTTTTGTGTGAACTGTCCCTTTAAGACACCCAAGTTAATAAGTGTATTGTTCCTGTCATCTCCAGCAGCTGATATTATTATTGGCATGGTTGTGAAACGGTGTAATGTGAAATGAAGTATAGATAATTAGTGTATTTCTTCAACTACATGGTTGAAAAACACTATATAGTAGCATTTACTGTCGTATTTATTTGAGTCGGATTACATTTATAGTAAAGACTGTCGTGTTTTGGAACCATACTATAGTAAAGGACTTGAATTAATCTGTTGTGGTAATTCTACAGTTGCTGTGCTATCACATACACCACAATTTACTGTAGTACACACAAAGCTAGCCTATACTACAGTATTGATTACAGTTCACTATAGTTAATAATACTACAGTTACAGTTTTTTTCAATTGTTTACAAACAATTTTGAAAACCCGGTTCTTTTTTTCTAAATATAATCACAATTATTCAAACAGCACACTCAATTTGCAGAATTCCTAGATTGTTTGCAAATGACACTTTAGTCAAAACACTTTAGTGAAAACATTTACACATATTTGTAAAAATTATATCAGTTTTTATTTATCCAACACAGTCCACAAAGATCCGACACTATTGCAGACAGTTTCACACTGCTGTGATAAATAAAACACATTCATTAAAAAAAAAAAAAAAAAAAAAAAAAAAAAAAACTAATTTTAGTAAATAGCATGTGCTAAATTTTTGGGCAGACATTGTTATGTAAGGGATCATTTCGATGAGAAAACAAAATAGTGACAAACCCCTTCCTCATGATTAGTTTGAGATATAGCGAGAATGTACACAAATAGGCCTACTATAAACTGATCAAGCACTGCACAACACTGATAGTGCAGACTGAAGATTTCAAGTATTTATTTCAGTATTTCTGCTGAGATTTGCTTGAACTCTTTGTCCAGCTTCCATCAGTGTCAGTCCATGGTTGATAACATGGTCAATAAGTGTGGCACTGATTTCTTTAGTCAAATTTGGTCCTCGTCTTCTTTGTTCAGGTTCTATCAACTCTTCAAGTCCTTCTCTACCTCCTCTTCCTCTACCTCCTCTCATTCTTCTTTTAGCTCCTTCTATTTTTCATGAATACAGGTAAACTCACCTGCACACCTGAGTGCTGCGTTTTCAAAGTAGCACATGTGTGCTTCCACACCTTGTGGATGTGTTTATCCAATTCGTTCATTAGCGTGGTCATTGCACACTGTGCACTGTAGTGCTATGGAGCACGGTGTTGACCATACACAGGGCTAATAATATTGACCTTTTGAAAAATTAAGAACTGCTTTTATTCTAGCTGAAATAAAACAAATAAGACTTTCTCCAGAAGAAAAAAATATTGTGGGAAATACTGTGAAAAATTCCTTGCTCAGTTAAACATCATTTGGGAAATTTTTGAAAATAAAAACTCACAGGAGGGCGAATAATTTAGACTTCAGCTGTACATAGCTACATGCAGTTTATGTTTTTGTTTTATTCTGTCATGTATCAAAGCAAAACAATAAAAAAAAACTTGAATAAAAAACATAAACTGCAGGAGATGGCATCAGGTTGGTAGTCATGAGGCTTATGGAAATGATATGTTCACTGCTCTTTCCCGTTCTGCTATGTGTGTGTGCGCGCGCGCTGCGTCAGACGCGGAAGAGAAATCGAGGAACACCGGGAATGTCACGAATCCGAAATCTCCAAGCGTCGCGCTTTTCTGCTCGGTTCATAAGTGTGTTTTGTTGGTAGGAGCTCGGTAACCAGAGCTTGCTTCTGCTAGCATGGGTTAGCTTTGCTTTGCCTGAGGTAAACTACGCTGACATTATCGTGTATCCTCCGCTTCTCCGCCGGGAAAATGAAGTGTTTTCCAGATTTGCTTCAGGTGCACGGCGCATCCATCGCGCATTTTACCCTCATCATCTTCACCTTCCTCATCTATAAAATCACAAACGGCTGCCAACCCGATGCATCCCTTCAGTTCACTTAGGTAAGATTTCGCGAAAGCTACAATAATTGGCCTTTGAAGCAGGACACGAGTAGCCTATTACATAAGTTCAGGGTGAAGGTTGTGTTTCAAGAAGTAGTGAGCGCCCTAGCTAGACAGTGTCCGTAGGCTTCAGTTGTAGTTTCTGAGTCTACTTATATGATGAGGGAAACCGTTTTTTTTGTTTTGTATATAAAAAGATATAAAATCGAGAAACAATTTGTTTTAAGTCTTTGAATGTTACCTTTTCTATGAAGTTTTAAACACCATATTGTTTTTTGGTTCATTTTATCTGATTGGATGCTGTGAGCACGTTATTTTTTCCACAACCTGGTAAAAACCAGTACAGTGAAGAGACGGCAGCATCAAATTATGAGGCTAATAGAAAATGTCTGTTTCTAACGTTCTAACAATGAAAAAAATAAAGTGATACTACTTTATTTTACTGCTAAATATTTTAACATTTTTTAAATATTTAAGTTCTAGATTCACAGGCATTATTTTTTGGCACATTATTTAAAATATGTGGCTAAGAATTTGCTGTTTTTTTATTTTTTTTATTTTTTGTGGGGCCAGTGAAAACTTTGGCAGGGCAAGTAACAATCTGAACCACTGGTCCAATCTGGCCAGTAGAAAATATCCTTACCGTTGAACCCTGTGACCTCCATAGCCGGAAAAACAAACACAATGGAAGTCAGTGGTTACAGGCTTTCAGCATTTTTCAAGATATCTTCTTTTGGATTCAACAGAAAACAAAGAAACTCAAAGTGGTTTGTGACGAGTAAAAAGTGAAAGAAAATGCAGTTTTGAGTTGAAATGAGTGTTATCTGTGTCTATCCATTTCCTTTAGGTCTCAGTTTACAGATACTGACATGGACTATGAGAGGCCGAATGTAGAGACCATTAAATGTGTGGTGGTTGGAGACAACGCTGTGGGAAAAACACGTCTGATCTGTGCCAGAGCATGCAATGCCACACTTACTCAGTACCAGCTACTGGCCACACACGTGCCCACAGTCTGGGCCATTGACCAGTACAGAGTGTGCCAGGAGGTCTGGGCTTTTACCTTAACATTTATCAAGACATTTAGTCATTTTTGTGTTTCTAACATTTATTAGTTATTATGTTAATCATACTAAAATATGTGACAGAATTTAATTATTTATAAGTAATATATAGTATTTTTGAATACCGGCACATGTCTATATCTCTATTAGTGTAGATGTGGGGTAAATTGTTTAACTTAAATTTCATAAATCTCTCATATCTCAGATTTCATTAAAACGAGCTCATAAATGTGTGTGCTTGTCTCTGTAGGTTCTGGAGCGCTCTAGAGATGTAGTGGATGACGTGAGCGTGTCTCTTCGATTATGGGATACATTTGGAGATCACCACAAGGATCGCCGCTTCGCTTACGGCAGGTGCGTTTGAGGGCCGTTTTGTTGTAAATTTGAATAAAAAATAATTTGGTTGTAATGATGCTATAGTCAGTGTAATGCAAAGTGAGATATTTTGAAAAATGTTGAAAGCCTGTAACCATTGACTGCTGTATTATTAGTTTTTCCTGCTGTGGAAGTCAGTTGTGTTTTTAGTAGTGCTGTCAATCGAATAATTAACTAATTAATCACACTTTTTTTATTATTCACGATTAATCACATTAAAAAGACTGAAACTTGTAATTTTGGCTATTCAAATGTAAAATGAATGTAAACGCAAGACAAAACTATTTAAATTCAAAATATAATTGTTTATTAGAATTTTTGTTTAACTTGTAACACAGATTTCTTCATGTAAACAACAAACCCACAATAAGCCAAATCAAGATCCTGGCTTGACAGCCATATTTATCACAGAAATAAAACACAGGCATGTTAATGCCATTTGAGTTTCAAAATAATCAATGCCAATAAATAAAATTTAAATTTCTATTTTGGATTCTAAGTGGACTGCAAAAAAATGCCAAAATACAGGCACTGCAAATGTGGAAAATTAGAATAACAATAAAGTATTGTATACAAACAATTGCACTTATTGTAAAGTTGTATTACTTTGAGTTGAGAACATTTATTTTAAAGTAGAAACAATTTTGCTTAGCCCTGCTTTACAATCAGCCAGTTGCTAAAACTGTCCAGTCTGTTGACATAATCGGGGGATAATGTGGACCTTTTCTTTTGAATGATGTGAGCTGAGAGTGCATTTCATATTTCAATTCATAACTTTTTGATTTAGTGGCTACAGACAACAACGTTTAGGCAGGTTTGTTGCTAAGAAATGGTTTCCCAGGTGAATTGGATGAACTAAATTGGCCGTAGTGTATGAGTGTGTGTTTGTGTGAATGAGAGTGTATAGGTGTTTCCCAGTACTGGGTTGCAGCTGGAAGGGCATCCACTGTGTAAAACATATGCTGGAATAGTAGGCTGTTCATTCCACTGTGGCAATCCCTGAAATAGAGACTAAGCTGAAGGAAAATAAATGAATGTTTCTTTGCCATGATGACAGCACAAAATTTTACTAGTTATTTTTTAAGATACTAGTATTCAGCTTAAAGTGACATTTAAAGACTTTACTAGGTTAATTAGTCAAGTTATTGGACAACAGTACTTTAAGTACAACAAAAAATACAGATAATAATATTGAGCATAGCAGTTTTTTAATTTTTTAAAATATTTTTTATTCTAATCAAACTAAAAGAAAAAGGTTTTCTCCAGAAGAAAAACATAATAGAAAATACTGTAAAAAACGAAATCCTTGCTCTGCTAAAAGTTTCAATTAAAACTTCATCAAATTATTTAACCTTAAAAACTAAACTTTTTAGTCACTTATAATGCAAATAGGAGTACAATATATGTATTTGGATTATTATGCTGTTGTGTAATCATATAAGTAATGGCATAAAATCTTAAGTCTTAAAATGACAATAATAATCATAATACATTTTGTGAAAATATATATTAAAATATAAATAAATATATTACCATATATATATATGAAATATACACTATACCGGTCAAAAGTTTGGGGTCAGTTTTTCATTATTAGTTTAATGTAATAATTTAAATAAAATTATTCTGTTCATCAAGTTGGCATTTATTAAATGTAAAAAAAAAATTGTATCTACAATAAGTAATAAACAAATTACATATTTATTTATTAGTAGTTTCAAATGAAATTATTACTCCAGTCATTATTGCTTTTATTTCTATTAGCATTAATAATATTCATAATAACAATAATAATAAATATTACTGTGATTTCTGAAGGATCATGTGACTAAAAACTGGAGTAATAAAGCTGGAAATTCATTATTAACATCACTGGAATAAATTATTTAATTAAATGATAAACTACCTTTGAACAGTTATTTTATAGTGCAAAAACATTTCACAATTTTATAATTTGTTCTGTACTTTTGATGAAATAAATGCAGCCTTGGTGAGCAGGAGAAGCTTATTTTAAAACATTTAAAAAACCTACTGACCCCAAACTTTTGACCGGTATTGTATATCCAATTTTTTTTTTTTTTGTGAAAGGCCTAGTTGGACATGAAGCGTTGTCTCTTGTGGACATTAAAGGTCCTGTAAAACTAAAATATTTTTTTATCTTATTTTAGTATCAGTATGTTGGTTTTAAGCATATTGTGTCTCTCCAAAACACTGACAAAATTTGTGTTTAGAAGATGTAAACATGATATAAACATCCAAAGCTTGCAGTTTGTCACTTCAGTTTCTCGTCAAATCTTCTGACCAATCAAATGCTCTCTAGTGTCTCACATGCTCTGCCTCCTTCTCATTGGCTGTTTATTTCATGTGCTTAAGCTCAACCCCTCACACTGGCAGAGCTGAGGTAAAAACCAAACACTATTGGCTGTTTTATAAAAAGGGGAGTAGCTACCCTGTCCTATAGTCTCTTCATGTGTCAGTTGAGATTACATCAAACTTCGAATAAAAAAACGCACATTTCAAAGCACTTGACAGGATTTTTTGTCTTATGTCTGTGCTCCAGGTCAGATGTGGTGGTCCTGTGTTTCTCAATCGCCAACCCGAATTCTCTGTTTCACGTGAAGACCATGTGGTACCCAGAGATTAAACACTTCTGCCCTCGTGCCCCGGTCATCCTGGTGGGCTGCCAGCTAGACTTGCGATATGCTGACCTGGAGGCCGTTAACAGGGCACGGAGACCACTCGCAAGGTAAAGAAACATCCGTAACACTTTACAATAAGCTTGTATTAGTTAATGCATTTACTAACATGAAAAACAACACATTTCCGGGTTTCTCAGCAGCAGAAGTATTGATGAAATAATAAAGGAAATACTCCATGATGGTGTTATCAAGACTTTCAGAAGAAGGAAAAAAACTGTGTGAGAATGATAACGGCAGCCAGAAGAGAGAATAACATGAAATTTACTGTCCTGCCCCCATACACACTGCATTACAAACACCTTGGTAATCGGTAATTAATTTATTGTAATCTGATTCAAAGATGCTTTAATACATAGAATATATGTATATATAGAATATATATATATATAGAAATGTTCATTCTTTAAAAAAACAAATCTAAATATTAAAGACTTTTAAAGGGTCACGAAACACCAAAACACATGTTTTGAGCTGTTGACAGTCGTACATGTGTCCCACACTGCTAAAAACATGATTAGGACACATATATCTCACTAAAAAGTGTAAATTGGTTGTTTTTGCGTTATTTCAAGCAAATTCGTACTTCCAAACGAATTTTTGAAGCTGCGTCACGGTCATGAGATAATAGCGTGTATTCCAGCGTGCAGACTGGACGTCTGTGCCAGAGTGAGTCTTATTACGTCTCCGAGTGTGTTGCATTATTGCATGAGTAAAGCTTGGTTCAAACCAATCAGCATGCTCTATTCCGCAACTTCATTAATATTCATTACTGTCACAGTGTTTACACGACAGAGACGCCACGTTGTGTTGGCAAAACAAGCGTGAAGTGTTGCTTTTATAGTTTGCTGCCGTGAAGTTTTGTTTTCATTTTCTCTCTGTGAGAGCTCATCTGGAGTCACGTGTGGATTAACAGTGTACGTCGCGACGCTCGACAACAATAACTTGGAGGATTATTGTTTACCTTAGTAACATCTGAATATGATTATTTTAGTATTGCTGGGGATTTTAATATTCACATTGATAATCCAGAAATCAATGCTGTAAAAGAACTGATGACTGTTTTTAACACTTTTGATCTGACTCAGCATGTTCAAGGACCCACACACAATCGTGGACACACTCTTGATCTACTTATAACTAAGGGTTTACACATTTCATCGACTGTTGTTAAGGATGTGGCACTATCTGATCATTTCTGTATTTTCTTTGATATATTGATCACTCCAGCTATTAAAGACAGATCTGTCTCTGTCAGAAAGAGATGCATAAATGAGAACACTAGTGAGCAGTTTATGAAGGCCATATCGCTGGCACCAAGTATATCTGCAGACTCTGTTGATTCTCTCCTTGATTTGTTTAATTCTAAAATTGAAAATGTAATAAATGACATCGCTCCTGTTAAAGTTAGGAAGAGAACTGGCAAAGAGAGAGTCCCTTGGAGAAACTCAAGAGCAGTCCAAATGAAGAAAAGACAATGCAGGAAAGCTGAGCGTATGTGGAGAAAGACGAAACTAGTAGTCCATTACAATATCTATAAAGACAGTCTTCAGGCTTTTAATGTGGAACTAAAAACTGCTAGACAGACTTTCTTTTCAAACCTTATAAACAACAATGTAAATAATGCTCGCACACTCTTTGCAACAGTAGAGAGGCTCACAAACCCCCCCAGTCGGATTCCCAGTGAGCTACTCTCTGTAAGCAAATGTAATGAATTTGCTAATTTCTTTACTGATAAGATCAATAATATCAGAAAGGCAATCAGCTCATCCAATCAGCCAAGTTGTGTCAATATCAAACAAACTCAACCACAACTTGAGAAGTCAGACATTATGTCTGATTTCATGGCAATTAACGGTAAAATCTTAGAAGAGATGGTGCAAATTATAAAAACATCAACCTGCAGTCTTGACACGCTCCCCACATCATTCTTCAAAACGGTGTTTACCTGTTTAGAAATGGATCTTCTAAAAGTGGTAAATGATTCACTTCTCTCAGGGATTTTTCCAAACTCACTTAAAACTGCAGTTGTTAAACCCCTCTTGAAGAAGAGCAACCTGGATAACACCCTATTGAGCAATTACAGGCCAATCTCAAATCTCCCTTTCATTGGCAAAATCATTGAAAAAGTTGTTTTCAACCAGGTTAACAAGTTCTTAAACTTCAAGGGGTGTTTAGATAATTTTCAATCTGGTTTCAGAGCACATCACAGTACAGAGAGCGCTCTTATAAAGATAATCAATGATATACGTCTAAACACAGATTCAGGTAAAATAACAGTGCTGGTATTGCTCGATCTCAGTGCTGCTTTTGACACTGTCGATCACAGCATACTTCTGGATAGGCTGGAAAACTGGGTTGGGCTGTCTGGGACAGTCCTCAAATGGTTCAGATCTTACCTTGAAGGGAGAGGTTACTATGTCAGTATAGGTGATCATAGGTCGAGGTGGACACCCATGACATGTGGAGTCCCACAAGGCTCGATTCTGGCACCTCTCCTGTTCAACCTTTACATGCTCCCTCTGAGCCAAATAATGAGAAAGAATCAAATCTCCTACCACAGCTATGCTGATGACACTCAGATCTACCTAGCCTTACTGCCTAATGACTACAGCCCCATTGACACCCTCTGCCAATGTATTGATGAAATTAAAAATTGGATGTGCCAAAACTTTCTTCAGTTAAACAAAGAGAAAACTGAAGTCATTGCATTTGGGAACAGAGATGAGGTTCTCAAGGTGAATGCGTACCTTGGCTCTAAAGGTCAAACGACAAAAAATAAGGTCAAGAATCTTGGTGTGACGCTGGAGTCAGATCTGAGTTTCAACAGTCATGTCAAAGCAGTCAGTAAATCAGCATACTATCATCTCAAAAACATAGCAAGAATCAGATGCTTTGTTTCTAGTGAAGATTTAGAGAAACTTGTTCATGCTTTTATCAGTAGCAGGGTGGATTACTGTAATGGACTCCTCACTGGCCTTCCCAAAAAGACAGTCAGACACTTGCAGCTCATCCAGAATGCTGCAGCCAGAATTCTGACCAGAAGCAGGAAATCAGAGCACATCACACCTGTCCTCAGGTCTCTACACTGGCTGCCAGTTACATTCAGAATAGATTTTAAAGTATTATTACTGGTCTATAAATCACTAAATGGCCAAGGACCTCAATACATTACAGATATGCTCACTGAATACAAACCTAACAGATCACTCAGATCTTTAGGATCATATAAACTAGAAGTTCCAAGAGTTCAGTCTAAGCAGGGTGAATCTGCCTTCAGCCACTACGCCCCCCGCTGCTGGAATCAGCTTCCAGAAATGATCAGATGTGCTCCAACATTAGGCACATTCAAATCAAGACTGAAAACACATCTGTTTAGCTGTGCCTTTACTGAATGAGCACTGTGCTGCGTCCGACAGATCGCACTATTATGTTTTTCGTTTTCTTTTTCATTCTTTTATAACCTATTTTAACTCATTTTAATTTGTTTTTATCTGTTTTTAATAATTTTTATTGTCTGCATTTTATTTTCCTAAACTTGTCTTTTTTTATTCCTGTTTATGTAAAGCACTTTGAATTGCCACTGTGTATGAAATGTGCTATATAAATAAACTTGCCTTGCCTTGCCTTGCCTTGCCTACCTGAGAGCTGTTCTCATCTGCAAACGCTGAGATCCGGACGCATTCGCTTGTAGTCTTCTCTTAATAAAGACGGGGCTCTAGTTGCTGGTGATTGTCCTGTCTCTACAGATTTGGTAAGTGAGCGACCAGTGCTCTTTGTTTATTCAGTTTGTTCATATCTAATAAGTTAACTATTGCACCGAGTGTAAACATGTTAGCACCACAACCAAACTTTAACCTCGTGTAGGATTTTCACCGCATTTTGTGACCGGAATAACACACGCGGCTTTCTGACACTACCTGTCATGTGCATCTGAGTTTCCGGAAAATGCGGAGGGTTTTTTTCTCTCATTCGCCGTGCGGTATCAAACATTGCATGAAAAATACACGCTTAGAGCAGCTCCTCTAATCAAATATCTTGTTTGTCGCGAGGGGCATGAATGAATTCCCTGAATGAAAGAGCCAAACTGCAGTTAAAGTCCACCATTTAATAATTTTGCAAATAATTCGACACTTTGTCCCCTGTGTGTGTGTGTGTTTTGACTCTGAAACTCAGCTCGTGCCCAAATAGACACTCCCACAACCATCCCACTTTAGTTCCTCCGACACTCCCCCCTAAACAGAGCTGGACACGCCCACTTTTCTGACTTTTTCCAAAGTAGAGGTGTGAAAACACCCTGCTGAAACGAGGGGGTTTCATGGCCTTTTAAGGATTTAAGATTATGAGGAGCGTTAAACGCATCATAACTAGGGTTGGGTACCAAACCTGGTGCCCGATTTTACTCAAATTTGCAAATGTAAGAGAACTTTGATAATTTACATTTGAAGTACTTTGAGGGTTTCTGTAATGTTAATGTATGAAAGTGAACTGTTACACACATACTGTTTGTTATATGGATTGCAAAAACTTTGAAGCTCAATATCTCAAAATCATTCAGAACGCAGAGAGAACCTTATAATTCTAAGCTGACGATTTGTAGAGCAACCCATGTTCAGTTGTCATGAATGGTTATAAAATCATTATAATCATTCAAATAATTAATAAAAATAATCAGTTTAAAATTCTTCAATGATATTAATGCTATGACGTAGTTCCGGAAACTTCCTACTTTTCTGTTTATCCGTCTGACTTTATGGTGGGTTTATTTTGACCCTGTCGTTTGGGCTATAAAAGCTGGCTGCAGCTGACCAGGAGGCAAGGGAGAGGGGAGACGACATGTCTCACTTGAGCTGCTCCAGTCTCAGATACCTGGGGCTTCTGACTTCTATTTGTTTCATGTTTATAATGTGAACTAAGTGGTTGGTATGAGCAAGGTGTGGGGTGTCTTTTATTTTAAAACCTTTTTCTCCTGTTTTGGTGGGTAGGCAGGGAGAAAGGGAAGTAATATGTATTTTCTTTCTTTTGGGAATGTTTATGTTGTTAGTAAGGGTGTCACGATCCTCCAAATCCTCGATTCGATTACATTTTCGATTCTAAAGGCACGATTCGATTCGATCTTTGATTATGAATAATTAATTCATTAATGACCAATTAATTATTTGTAGCCTACCGTTTAAACTACTGACCTGCATGGTCTTTGTTTTACCCATAAACAAATCATACAGTAAATGAATAAAGGCAAGATACACACATAATTACCACCTGTCAATCACTTTTTCTGCGGGACTCGTGAATAGACAGTGATCTGTGTCGTTATAATGGCGTCGGTAAAAAAGACCCACAACCAACAGGAACCAGCCAGCAGTATCTGAGGTGTTCACTAAAATGACTAAGTACAAGTGAGTGAAAGATTGAAGCAGTCCTCTGACTGCCTGGACCTGCTGTCTGGAGCGCAAGGCTGTGTGTGCGTCTGTGTCTGTGTGGTCACGTGATGTGCATTTTCAGAGGTAGAGAGGAAGGAGGGCTGCTCAGAAATGCTACACGCCACTGTGGATGTCAAATCGTTGTCGTTCTAAAATGCCATTTAAAAACAAAGACAGTGTAAACAGGGCCTGAGTGTGTACTTTTCGCGAGCGGATTTGCAACGGGGGCGGGCGGAGGATCGCGATGCCGGTGTTGTCTATCGGACGAACCGTACGTAATACGTACATAGCAGAGCTTGCAAAACTCTGTTTTTTTTTTTGTCGACAACACGAACATTGTCAACATAACTCACTGGAAATCCAAAATGCTTACACACCGGCGACTTCATTGAAAGAGGAGAGGGTTTAAGTTCTGTCGACGGGTCTCCTGCTTCTGCAGTTTAACAAGCACTTCAACAAGCCTGTTTTTTCCCGCTTGGCAAGCCAAGCTGACGTGACATGGGGGCGTGGCAGCATCGACGATTCTATTTTTTGATTTGATAATCGAAATTGAGCATAAATTTCAAAAGATTTCGATTAAAAATCGAAATCGTGACCCCCCCTAGTTGTTAGGTAAGTTAGTTTATCTTAAATTAGTTATTGGCTGTTTTGTTTGTTATTTTGGACCCCCATATCCTGAGGTATTATTTTTGGTTTCGTATTGTTTCTTTAAAATGTAAGATTTACTATTTCGTTTGATCACACAATAAATCAATGGTTGCCTGATGGTGATCAGAATATTAAGAAGGTGTTGACTTGATTCTGGGTCTGGAAGCGGTACTCTTCCCTCTTCCTTCATTTGTTCGTTCCTATCTGTGTTTTGCCTCTACTTTTTACTGGGAACGTAACAATTCTTTTTCTCTATCCACCTCTCCTCCAGACCCATCAAAGCCAATGAGATTCTTCCACCAGAGAAGGGCCGTGAGGTGGCCAAAGAGCTGTGCGTGCCGTATTACGAGACCAGCGTTGTGGCTCAGTTTGGGGTGAAGGACGTGTTTGATAATGCCATCCGCGCTGCCCTCATCTCGCGGCGCCACCTGCAGTTCTGGAAGTCTCATCTGCGGGACGTCCAGCGGCCTCTTCTCCAAGCACCCTTCCTGCCTCCCAAACCTCCTCCTCCGGTTATAACCGTCCCACCGGCTCCGTCCCCCACAGACGAGCATCCTGGCCGGCTTCTGGAGGAGCCGCTGTGCGCTGATGTTCTGCTGGTCCTTCAGGAGCACCACAGAGTGTTTGCTCATAAAGTCTACCTCGCTACGGCTTCCTCAAAATTCTACGACCTCTTCGTTCAGGATTCAGTGTTGGGACGGGAGTCTCCTGCTCAAGCGGACAGTTTTGACATGTGGGTAGTTGACAAATAGGCAGTAAAAAAACTTTGTGTATATGTAAATTAGGAAAAACAACTCTTATAATAGGTGACATGGTGGCTGAGTGGTTAGCACTGTCGCCTCACAGCAAGAGGTTGCCGGTTCAAGTCTTTTCTGTGTGGAGTTTGCATGTTCTCCCCGTGTTGGTGTGGGTTTCCTCTGGGTGCTCCGGTTTCCTTCCCAGTCCAAACACATGCACTACAGGGGAATTGATGAACTAAATTGGCCGTAGTGTATGAGTGTGTGAATGAGCGTGTATGGGTGTTTCCCAGTACTGGGTTGCAGCTGGAAGGGCATCCACTGTGTAAAACTTATGCTGGAATAGTTGGTGGGTCATTCCGCTGTGGCGACCCCTGATAAATAAGGGAAGGAGGAAGCCGAAGGGAAATGAAAGAACTCATAATATACAAATAGCTTGAGAGTAGGGTTGGCGATATGCAATCAATAATTATTTTCTGCATTGAACAATAACAATATATATTTCGATATAAGTTGTTAATGGGTCCACTTTTAAAAGAGTATCCCAAGCATGAGTGAAAGAGGATACTGCTGGCGGGAAAGTGAAACGAGCGTGCTAAACAATACTGGGTGATGCAGCATGATCTATTTTCAGCGATCAAATATTCTATGAATTTCTAATATCAACACAATTATAGATTCCTGTTGTTGCATATTTGTGCTGTGTGATTGGCTCTTAGGATCAGTATCGAGTATCATCGTTATCGACATAAATTTTATTGCGATTCGATATGATATTGTTTATCGGCCCAGCCCTAAATGAGAGCGATTTCTCCTCACTAGCTATGTTTCCCTCTTCATTGACCTATTTTTATTGGTATTTTAAACAAAAGTACATTAAAAGTAGCACAAATTGATTAATGGAAACACCAATATGCTCATAAATAATTAAAAATATAGATTAATGATGACTATGAGTGTCAATAAATATGAGTGTCAATAACAAACAACAACAACAACAAAACTTAGTGGTTAGCTTCAGTCACATGACATTAAACAGGTCTTTATTTATTTTCCTTCGGCTTAGTCCCTTTATTCATCAGAGGTCACCACAGCAGAATGAACCGCCAACTTATCCAGCATATGTTTTACCAGCGTATGCCCTTTCAACTGCAACCCAGTACTGGGAAACACCCATACACTCTACATTCATCCACACACTCGTACACTACGGCCAATTTAGTTTATTTAATTCCCCTATAGAGTGGTGCAGTAGGTAGTGCTGCCGCCTCACAGCAAGAAGGTTGCTGGTTCGAGCCTCGGCTGGATCAGTTGACGTTTGTGTGTGGAGTTTGCATGTTCTCCCCGGGTTTGTGTGGGTTTCCTCCGCCTGCTCCGGTTTCCCCCACAAGTCCAAACTTATGCAGTACAGGCGAATTCGGTAGGCTAAAATTGTCCTCAGTGTATGTGTGTGAATGAGAGTGTGGGTGTTTCCCAGTCATGGGTTGCAGCTAGAAGGTCATCCGCTGCGTAAAACATATGCTGGATAAGTTGGCAGTTTATTTCGCTGTGGCGACCCTAGATTAATAAAGGGACTTAGCCGAAAAGAAAATGAATGAATGAATTCCCCTATAGGGTGGGAGAACATGCAAACTCCACACAGAAATGTCAACTGACCCAGCTGGGACTTGAACCAACAACTTTCTTGCTGTAAGGCGACAATGCTAACCATTGAGCCACCGTGTTGTCCTTCAACTAGTTTTTGGTGTTATTGCTGATCATATGTAATATGCTAATGAGCATGTTGTTTCACACCAGAGCACATGGTTTTCAGTGCAAAAAGGTATCAAGTTCTGGGGCCTCATGCACGAAGACTTGCGTGGAAATCATACTAAAACATTGCGTACGCACAAAGCTGTAAATGTGCGTACGCAGAAAAAAATTCAGATGTATGAAACACTGCGTACGCCGAATCTCACGCAAATTCTTTTGTACATCTGAATGAACGTGAAACTAAGCGTAACATGCACGAGCACAAAACCCCTCCCTGCCTCCTCCCCCGTATGAATATGCAAATGACTATACTTTGGCAAAACTCAACGAAAAAGCAACGGCTAAATCAAGCAAAAAGAGAAACTTTGAACAAAATGTGAATTGGAGGTGCTCCTTTCGGAGGTAGACCGGAGAAAAGCGGTGCTATTTGCAAGTTTTTCTCTCCGGAATTAACAACAAAAGAAAAAAAATAGAGAGTTTAGCTGATGCGGTTAACACAGTTGGGTCTGAACATCGCACTGAGTGAATTAAAACGAAATAGTGTGATTTATAGGTGTAAAATGTTGCAGCATCCATAACAGTCTAAGTGGTGCAGTTCGTAAGACGCATGTCAACATGATTGACACGTTCGAGCATGAACTCGGTTCTAATCCAGCGTCTAATGAACTCTTTTTTTTTTTTTTTCCCCGCTACATATCAGATTTTGCCAACTATTTATAACGAGAAAGACAAGTAGGAATCAATAAGTTTGTGCATCATATTTTATTTGCACATTTATTGAATGGAAATGTTTCTGATTCACGCATGCAAATTCATCTTCAGATAGTGTCTTTATAGCAATGTGCGTGCAGTAGATCGCTCAGATTACATTGGGAAAACAGGCGACCGCTGCAAATTGTGCTTTAATGTTTGGCCGGTCAACTGTATGGTATGGAAACCTTATATACCTGCTGAACCCGTCTCATACAGCTGCCATTGCAAGGCTCAGACACTTTATAGAGTGCAATTTAACACAACTGCCTCTAGGAGTCGCCAATGGATATAAAACAGACACGCACAAAAGATGTGCGTACGCCAGCCATTAAGCTGGCGTGGAGGTGTGCACATTCCCACGTTCAGTTCATCATTAGTAAATCCAAACGTGAGCGATTCTGAGCGTGAAACCTGGCGTACGCAAAGTTTTTGTGCGTACGCAGCGTTGATACATGAGGCCCCTGATGTTTTTAGAACTACACGACTAAAGAAAAGATTTACTAAAGATCTGCTAGAATAGTTGGTGGTTCATTCCGCTGTGGTGACCTCTGATAAATAAGCCAAAGGCAAATGAATGATTGAATGAATGCTTAAGACAGTCACCATTTTAGAGTTGAGATTAGACTCAAATGTAAAATAAAAATAACGCAGCAGATTTTATAACAAGAAGTCGATGGAAAGCAGAAATGTTGAAGCATTTACTGCATTTTAACTGATGACAATACTAATTATGTTCATATTTGTCTTGTCTGACAGTGAAAATTCAACCTCACATCAACATCCCGTGTCCGAAAGCATAGATGAAGACAGTACGGTGAAAATGAGGGCCTGTATTAGCGACGGGACCCTGACTAATGATGCTCCCCTGGAAATGAGTCACGGAGGGAGACTTTCGTCAGCTTTGGGTCGTGCTTTTATCAGCATGAGGAGAGAAAGCGTTCAGGATCCCGTTACGCTTGTTTCTCGACCAATGACAGTGGTGCATTTGGATCCCTCAGTGCTGTTTGGGCCGTTTGCTGTGGTCCTGCGCTATCTCTATACGGGACGGCTGGATGAAAATGAAAAGGATTTGATGCACATTGCTCACATCGCGGAGCTGCTGGAGGTGTTCGACCTGCGCATGATGGTCGCTAATATCCTTAATAATGAAGCGTTTATGAACCAGGAGATCACAAAGGCTTTCCATGTGCGACGCACCAATCGGGTGAAGGAGTGCTTGGCTAAAGGAACCTTCTCAGGTTGGAGTTTTGTTACTGTGATGCTTGATTTGGGGGAATTGATTATTTTTATTGTGAACATATTGTTAATATACAGTATATATCATAATATATCTATACTGTACTAATACTACACTATAAAAATATCCGTTAATTAACAGTTTCCATATTTTGTTATTCACAACTGTTTTCCGTTTATTATTACAAGGTGTTTGTAGTGTAATATACAACATCAACCCTGACAATATAGCACTGCAAACTATTAAACATGTTAATAAAAATCACTTTTAATGCTAAAAGCTGTTGGAAGAAAGATCAAGATCATGCAGTAGATCATGCAATTCAAAAGCACAAATAAACAGGAAAAAATAAAAATCATGAATCACAAAATTCAGAAAACTGCTAATTTACAGATTTGTTTTTTACAGACTAGAGCAGGGGTGATCAAACTCGGTCCTGGAGAGCCAGTGTCCTGCATAGTTTAGCTTCAACTCTAATCAAAAATACCTAAACATGCCAATCAGTGTCTTCAAGATCACTAGAAATCTATAAGCAGATGTGTTTGATTAAAGTTGGAGCTAAACTAGAGAATTATAATAATTATAATTATTTTTTTTAATGTTGTTATTACCAAAATTCACAAATATTATATTAAAACTATTGTACTAAAAGAGTCAAATAAAGTAATACAAAGAACTAGGCAGCATTTGCTATTATATACAGTATAGCTAAAATAATAGTAATAATTACTGATTTACTAAACAACTATTGGAATGGTTTACTGCTAAACAATACAAAAAAATCACAATGTTTTCTGATTATTTATTATTATTATGACTTATGATTACTCATATATATACACACACACACACACAAACACACACACACACACACATACACAGTTGAAGTTAGAAATATTAGCCCCCCCCCCTTGAAAGTATTATTTTTTTTATATTTCCCAAATGATGTTTAACAGAGCTAGAAAATGTTCACAGTATGTCTGATAATATTTTTTCTTCTGGAGAAAGTCTTATTTGTTTTATTTAGCTAAAATAAAAGCAGTTTTTAATTTTTTTAGGTAAAAATTATTAGTCCCTTTAAGCTATATATTTTTCGATAGTCTACACAACAAACCATCATTATACAATAACTTGCCTAATTACCCTAACCTGCCTAGTTTACCTAATTAACCTAGTTAAGCCTTTTTAAATGTCACTTTAAGCTGTACAGAAGTGTCTTGAAGAATATCTATCAAATATTATTTACTATCATCATGGCAAAGATAAAATAAATCAGTTATTAGAGATGAGTTATTAAAACTATTATGTTTAGAAATGTGTTGAAGAAATCTGCTCTCCGTTAAACAGAAACTGGGGAAAAAATAAACAGGGGGGCGAATAATTCTGTATATACACACAGTGCTCAGCATAAATGAGTACACCCCCTTTTGAAAATGAATGTTTTGATTCCTGTTTCAGTGAATATAGACAATCATTTTTGATGCATTTAAACAAAACCATGTCCATTAAATATCTTCACTATTAAAAAAAAAAAACTAAAGGCTGCTTTTATTCTAGCTGAGGTAAAACAAAAAAGACTCTCTAGAAGAAGAAATATTATAGGAAACACTGTGAAAAATTCTTGAATCTGTTAAACATCATTTGGTAAATATTTGAAAAATATAAGAAATTCACAGGAGGACGAATAATTCAACTGAATATAAAATATAAAATGATAATATAAAAAAAAATTAAAATTAAAATTATAAAATTTTGGCAAATTTGATTATTGAGATTAGTTTTCAAATTTGTAACCTGTAAATCAACTATGATAGTTTGACTATTTTGTTGTAGAGCCACATACAGTTTATGTCAAAATTATTAACCCTCTTGTGAATTTTGTTTCCATAATTTTTTTCAATTCCAATTTTTTCTTTTAGATAAAGTATGCATGTTTTTTGTCTGGTTTAATAATTATTTTTTTTACTATATTAAGGTCAATACTAATAGCTATAATACATTCATTAAATCATTCATTTCCTTTTCGGCTTAGTCCCTAGTAGTCCCTTATTAATCTGCGGTCGCTACAGCAGAATGAACCGTCAATTTATCCAGCACATGTTTTACACAGCGGATGCCCTTCTAGCTGCAACCCATCACTGGGAAACACCCATACACCCTCATTCACACACATAAATTACGGACAATTTTAGCTTGTTCAATTCTCCTATAGCTCATGTGTTTGAACTGTGGGGGGAAACCGGAGCATCCGGAGGAAACCCACAGGGAAAACATGCAAACTCCACACAGAAATACCAACTGACCCAGCTGAGGCTCGAACCAGCGACCTTCCTGCTAAGAGGCGATTATGCTACCTACTGCACCACTGTGACGCCCAGCTACAATACAAAACAATATAGTAATTCATTTTCTTTTAGGCTTAGTCCCTTTATTAATCCGGGGTCCCCACAGCGGAATGAACCGCCAACTTATCCAGCATATTTTTTCAGCAGCGGATGCCCTTCCAGCCGCAACCCATCACTGGGAAACATCCATACCTACTCATACACTATGGACAATTTAGCCTACCCAATTACGCAAACACGGGAGAACATGCAAACTCCACACAGAAACACCGACTGACCCAGCCGAGGCGCGAACCAGCTAATTAAGTCTTTAAGCTGAATACTAATATCTTGCAAAATAACTAGTCACATATTTTATTCTGTCATCATGGCAAAGACAAAATAAAAGTACTTATTAGAAATAATGAGTTATTAAAACTATTATGTTTAGAAATGTGTTAAAAAAAAAAAAAAAAAAAAAAATATATATATATATATATATATATATATATATATATATATATATAAAAGAGTTATAATTTCACAAAAGCTCAAATAACTGTGACTTCAACTCTGAATGTGTGATTTTTAGTTCTATATTGATTATAGCTGCAAAAATGATAAGTTTGCATGATTAAAGTTTTATTTTCTTGCTTTCTCAGATGTGGTTTTTCAGCTAGATGACGGCACCGTCGAGGCCCATAAACCCCTGCTCATCTCCAGCTGCGATTGGATGGCTGCTATGTTCGGTGGGCCTTTTGTGGAGAGCTCCACTAAAGAGGTGAATAACAATCATCATATTAAGGCTGCACGATAATGGAAAAAAAAAAGAAGTGATATTTAGTTTTTCTGTTATATGCATCGTGATAGGAATATAATTTCACAATATGACTTCAGTAACTGGAAAGAATTCATAGTGTTATATTGATCGGAATGATTTGTGTAGGGGAGTGTATCTGTATTTTGTATAAAATATACACAATTATCCAAAAATATACCAAAATAAAAATAAAGCACAGAGATAAATCAATAACAACTGGCTATAAATAATATTAAATAGGGTGTATGCCGAGCTAGTGTGTTTCCCACAGGTTTCTCATTACGATGAACTTCCGGTGACCTGTTATTGTGTGTTTTTTCCATTTTTTTTGGTTCCTTTTACAGCATAGATGTTGTAATGTTATTAAAATACATTCAGTTAAACAGACTTTGGCATTAATTTAGTAGCTTAAACGTAAAACGAGACACAAAGACGTTTACTCGCACGCGCCCGTCAGAATCGGCAGGCTGGCGCAGAAGCTCCATTAATTATACTGGGGTAAAATAAATGCTCATATTATAAAAACATGGAGGTGGAAAATGTAATTTAATGCAGTGCTTCTTGTACAATCTGAGACCCACTTTATATCAGATATCACTCAGCCAGTGGAGATCGCTGATATTTAAAGAAATCAGACCTTAAACGTGCCGATTTTGCAATGGTATTCAGTTCACCGGAAGCGATTAACCCAGGTTACTGGCAAATTAAAAGTCCTATTAGCATGCTTCGGCATGTATCCCATAATACTGGTTAATATCATCATAACAAAGTATTAAAAGTAAGTTGAACTGTATCGAGGTAAAAAAAAACAACAACAACATACAGTCTTTATTGTAGAAAGAATTCATTCATTCATTCTCTTTCCGGCTTAGTCCCTTTATTAATCTGGGGTCGCCACAGCGGAATGACCTGCCAACTTATCCAGCACATGTTTTACGCAGCGGATGCCTTTCCAGCTGCAACCCATCACTGGGAAACCCCCATACACTCTTTCATTCACACACATACACTACGAACAATTTAGCTTACCCAATTCCCCCTATAGCACCCGGAGGAAACACAATGCCAACATGCAAACTCCAGCTAGAAATGACGACTGACCCAGCTGAGACTTGAACCAGCGAACTTCTAGCTGTTACAGCGCTATCCATTCCACCACCCTCATCGCAACACAGATGTTACATATACTGCCAAACACTATCACTGTGTATTCCCTAGTGCTTTTGTCTTCATGTCGTACACTGATCATCTTTGTATTGATCTTTTGTGGTGTGTTACTTTGGCTCCACACACAGGTGTTGTTCCCGAACACCAGCCGCAGCAGCATGCAGGCGGTGCTGGAGTATCTCTACACGGGACGCTTCTGCTCCAGACCTGACCTGGATACCATGGAGCTCATCATTCTGGCTAATCGCCTCTGTCTGCCGCATCTAGTCGCGCTTACAGGTCATTATCTTCTCAATGATGACTGACTAAACACTGTAGAGCAGGGGTGCCGAATTAGGCCCGCAAACAGGTTTAATCCAGCTCGCAAGATGATTCTGTAAAGTACAAAAACGAGCTGCAATTTTTCAATAAACGAAGCTGCTGTTCCAATTGTGTCCACTGGATGGCGCAGCTTCAAACGGTTAATTTCATCTGATAAAGCAGGGGTTCTCAATCGGTGAGCCGTGGCCCACTAATGGGCCTAAGCGATCCTACAGGTAGGCCACGAGATTATTAAATCTCAATATAATAATATAATGTTTGGATTTCATTATTAATATGCTGTATTAAAATGAACAAAGTAATGCACTTTCTCAAGTTCTGTGACTGATTACTAGTTGGCAACATGTAAGTTGGTTCATTCACAAACTATGCGTGAAGTGAAAGTCTCTCTTTGTGTATTATTGTGTGAACTATTTAATATATCTGCATATTTGTCCAAATTAATGTCCTGTGATGTATAACAGATGCGTGCCCATATAGGATCTAGCGAAGCCCAGTGGTGTTTCTGTCATATACAGTAAGTTAACTTGCATATGAGCTTCAGACGCCATTTGGCGGTGATGTTCACTGTTTCTGTCAGCGATCCCCCAATAATATCCAGCTGCAAACTCAACCGCTATCAGATCAACAGATTTAGGGTGTTTACTGTATTTAACGTCTGTATATTTTTATATTTAATAGTAGATATTCAGTCAGTTTAGCTTAAAGCAGAAGCTGCTCTTTTGCAGTCTGCCTGTTGACCTGTGGTTCTCTTTGAATCTGTGTATGTTTAAAAAATAAATAAATATATATATATTTATATGTACAGTTTTAATTTTATATATAATTAAATTTACATAAAATCATAGATTTTTTTAATTTTTATAAAATGCCGATAATAGAAAATAATAGAAGGCACAACAAATAAAGACAAATAGATATGTATAATACATTTGTGCATATATAATACATATATTTATAATAAATAAAGGTTTAAATGAGCATTTCATACAAATATTTTTGAGAAAAGTTAGTTTTTCAGGTGGGCCTACAAACATTGATCAGAAAAAGAAGTGGGCCCAACGTGAAAAAGGTTGAGAACCCCTGCGATAAAGAAGCTTTTGGATCGCAGATATAAGTGAACAGCGGGGTGGGGGAGGTGGTCGAGCGTGGATAAAAGTTTAGGGGGTGGTTGGGGGGTGGGAGATGTAAAGTGTAGAGGGCTGGGGGGTCGCTCATAAAAGTAAAGAGCCGGAAAGGGGGGGGGGGGGTCGCGATTATAAGTGAGGGGCGGGGGCGGGGTTTGATGCGGGCCCTTGATAAGATCTCTGGGGCCCCCCTAAATTAATGGGCCCTTAGAATCGTCCTAACTTACCCCCCTTGTGGCGCCCCTAACTCAACTATCATTTGATAGAGAAACAAATCATACTAAATTGTACGAATGAGATTGGATGAATCCATATGTATTAGCAACTATATTAAAAAGTTTGGAATTTCTGTGAGATGGTGTTGTCCTCACGCTCCAGCTTTATGCTTTATGTTGATCATATTAAAACAAAGAAAACAATCTGAAGTTGTTTTTATGTTGTATACACCATGATTTTACTGGTCCGGCCCGCTTGGGAATAGATTTTCCTCCATGTGGCCTCTGAGCTAAAATGAGTTTGACACCCCTGATGTGTCAGTATAATATATATATACAGTTGAAGGCTGAATTATTCGCCCTCTTCTATATTTTTTGCCCAGTTTCTGTTTAACGGAAAGATTCGTTCAACACATTTCTACACATAATAGTTTTAATAACTCTTTTATCTTTGCCATGATGACAGTAAATAATAATTGACTAGATATTCTTCAAGACACTAGTATTCAGCCTAAAGTGACATTTAAAGGCTTAACTAGGGTAATTAGGGTAAAGTTAGGGTAATTAGGCAAGTCATTGTATAACAGTGGTTTGAGCATTATTAGTCTTGGATTGTCTGCAGAACAAAGGGGTGAATAATAATGACCTTAAAATGGGTTAAACAAAATTACAAAAAAACTGCTTCTATTCTAGCCAAAATAAAACAAAATAAGACTTTCTCCAGAAGAAAAAATATTAGAGGAAAAATTGTGAATTTTTTTTTATTAATCCTTTTCAATATGCTGATTTGGTGATGGTATTTCTGCTTTATGCCGAGTTCAGACTGCAGGATTTTCAAAGTCGTCATGTCACAGATGTTTTCACACTGCATGACTATCTGGGCTAGCGTTTTGTCGCTGCTTTGTTTACACTGCAAGATGGATCGACGACTAGGGGGTTTCACACTGCATGACTTTACAATAGAAAGAATCGCCGAAAACTTCGTCCAAACTGCGTCTCACAGCCAAAAACACGTCGTATATCTTTTGTTTTTAACTACATAATGAGGAAGAAGCCTTTAATGGGGTAGAAAATGTACATATTTGCTCACCTGGGTTTAAAGGGAATTAGCCATTTCTCCTCAACTTTCTTTTTTAACTTTCTGTATTGAACGTCAAACAGACACGGGTAAACAAACCTCTACTAGTTATTCCTCCATTTCTTGGATCCAAATAAACTGAAAATGAGCGCTTTTAACTTCTCCCTCAACCTCCAGCTGGCCAGCAGGTACACACACACACAGACACACACACACAAGTGAAAGTTGCTCTCTCATTGGCTGTAGGTGATCGCTGATGTTATTTTCAGTCAAAACTCATTTCACACAGCATGATTTGAATCGCCGACAGCTCCAGATATTCAGCACGCCAAATATCTCGCAGGCATCGGCGACTCATTGGTGATTCTCTCAGATTGCGTCTTTGATCGTTCATACTGTGTGATTGTCACTCACGTGCATGAGCACAGATTTGCCTGTAATTTCAGGCATTTGTCGGCGATTTCTCAAAACCTCGAGTCAAAATCAGGGCTAAAATCACACAGTCTGAACTAGGCATGAGTTGTCTTCCAGGGTTGTGTTAATAGTGTGTGTTTCTGCAGAGCTCCACACTGTGACTGTGCTGAAGGAGAGCGCTGCGGCGGGCACAGACATTGATGGAGACGTGCTGCTGTATCTAGAGATGGCTCAGGTAAAAATACAACTGCAAACTTGAGCAGCAATAGTCAGTGAATTTAGATTTTAGATTTCAACAGAATTAATCTCATGTACGATCTGCAAGATGTTTTCACGGCTGACCAGGAGGTGGCTCTTGTCCACACAGATCTGCACACATTAATGAAATGTGTGTGAAGTCTGTACGCGAGAGAATTTTTTAAGAATCCATGATGATTTAACTTTGCATGCACTTCACAAATTAAAGACGCTGCATTGGGTGACAGTGGCTCAGGGGTTAGCACTGCAAGATGGTCGCTGGTTCGAGTACCGGCTGGTTTCTGTGTGGAGTTTGCATGTTCTCCCTGTGTTGGTTTCCTCCGGGTGCTCCGGTTTCCCCCACAGTCCAAACACATGCGCTATAGGGGAATTGATCAACTAAATTGCCCGTAGTGTATGTGTGTGAATGTGAAAGTGTTGGGTGTTTCCCAGTACTGGGTTGCAGCTGAAAGGGCATCCGCTGTGTAAAACATATGCTAGATAAGTTGTTAGTTCATTCTGTTGTGGCGACCCCTGATGATTAAAGGAACTAAGCTGGAGGAAAATGAATGAATGAATGAATGAAGAGCCTGCATTGTGAGTATTGTTGGTGCTGAAATGTTATCTTGTGTAAACGGTGAATTAAATGTCATATCAGTGTGGTGTCTAGATGAGGAACCACCTGATAACTTTTGTTTTTGTGTGTTTTAGTTCCACTGTGCCGAGCAGCTCACCAGCTGGTGCCTTCATCACATCTGCACCAACTACAACAACGTGTGCCGCAAGTTTCCCAGAGACATGAGGGCCAAATCAGCAGGTACTGCAGGAAGAAGAGCTTCATTTACAGTTGTGTTGTTCAGATTGAATACCCTTTCATTATGTTGGTGGCTGTTTATGCCCCACTTATAATTAGGGGCCAAGCTACGTATGTGCGTAGGCACCTATTGCTTTCGTTAGCGTTCCTATTATTCTTCTTCTTCCGTTTCTTCCGCCGGATTTTAATGGCAGCCCATATAGGCGTATGCGGGAAAGTTGTATAATTTGGCACAATGATAGAGGACAATCTTAACATTAATCAGACCAAATATGAAGTCTCAAAATCAAACTCTCTAGCGCCACCACTTGTCCAAACTTTCACGTACGTTTATCATCATAACTTTTGAACCGAATGCGCTACAATCAAAATTCTTTTTTTTCTCTGATTCCTTGGCTCAGTCCGATTCAAACTCACCCTATGACGGCATTTTCCGTCATACATTTTTTGCCTGCTATTTGAAATTTTTGGAAAAACCTAATTGATCAAACTCGTCCTAGGCCGTTACTCTGATTTTCACCAAAATTGAATCACAGGATCTACAGACCATGCCAACCAAAAGTTATGGAATTCAAGTTGATTAGACCAACCGTTTTCGTTTAACTTGTGATCAATTTTAACGAAGAACTTGCGAAAATGGACTTGAGGCGATATCTCCATAACACATTCACCGAATCACCCCAAACTTGGTGTGTGCTATGACAACTAGGGTCTGAGGTTATATGCGGAGTTTTGGCGCACTGCCACCTAGTGGTCAGAGATATAAAAAACTTGCTTTTTTGGTTTATAACGTCTCAACCTTTCGTCCGAAACTCATAAAACTGGTCTCATTACATCCAGCAGAGCATGTCGAGTCAAATGATGTCTGATTTTCACAAGTCAGACATTTTGGGCGTCGCCCATTTAAATTTTTGCCCAAAAATGCTATATTTTACCAACATATTCACATATCATTACAAAACATGGTATGATTCAACCCCATGCCCTGAAAGTTCTCAAAAACTTCTGGAGCAGCGCCACCTTTTGGCCAAAAGTGCTTGGCCCCTTAATTGCTGCTTGCAGCTATATTTTGTTTTTGCTATTGTTTAATTTGATGCTATGGCAGTTGTGTGTGTTGTGTTTTAAACTCCTTCAATGGTGTTTGTTTAGAGAACCAGGAGTACTTTGAGAAGCAGCGCTGGCCGCCGGTCTGGTTCCTGAAGGAGGACGATCACTATCAGCGAGCCCTGAAGGAGCGCCAGCAGGAGGACAGTCTCAACCTGAAGAGGCAGAGCAGGAGGAGGTGGACCCTGAGGAGCATACAGAGCCCTGCGCCGCCATCATCACCTTCATCATCACCATCATCATCAGGCTCATCTGCTATCATCTGACACACTGACTGACCTTCATCATCATCATCATCAGGCTCCTCTGCTATCATCTGACAAACTGACTGACCTTCATCATCATCATCATCATCAGGCTCTTCTGCTATCATCTGACACACTGACTGACCTTCATCATCATCATCATCATCAGGCTCCTCTGCTATCATCTGACAAACTGACTGACCTTCATCATCATCAGGCTCTTCTGCTATCATCTGACACACTGACTGACCTTCATCATCATCATCATCAGGCTCCTCTGCTATCATCTGACAAACTGACTGACCTTCATCATCATCATCATCAGGCTCTTCTGCTATCATCTGACACACTGACTGACCTTCATCATCATCATCATCATCAGGCTCTTCTGCTATCATCTGACACACTGACTGACCTTCATCATCATCATCATCATCATCAGGCTCTTCTGCTATCATCTGACACACTGACTGACCTTCATCATCATCATCATCAGGCTCTTCTGCTATCATCTGACACACTGACTGACCTTCATCATCATCATCATCATCATCAGGCTCTTCTGCTATTATCTGACACACTGACTGACCTTCATCATCATCATCATCATCATCATCATCAAGATTCTCCGGTATCATCTGACACACTGACCTTCATTATCATCATCAGGCTCTTCTGCTATCATCTGACACACTTACTTTCATCATCATCATCATCATCATCATAATGCTCCTCCGCCATCATCTGACACACTGACTGACCTTCATCATCATCACCATCATCATCCTCAGGCTCCTCCGCCATCATCTGACACACTGACTGACCTTCATCATCATCACCATCATCATCATCAAAATCCTCCACCTTCATCTGACACACTACCTGACCTTCGTCATCATCACCATCATTATCAAAATCCTCTGCCATCATCTGACATACTGATTTTGACTGACCTTCATCATCATCACCACCACCATCATCAGGATCCTCCGGCATCATCTGACACATTGACCTTCATTATCATCTTCTTCATCCTAGCCATCATCATCATCATCATCAGGCTCCTCTGCTATCATCTAACACACGGACTTACCTTCATCATCTTCATCATCTTCTAGAGTTGTCAAAAGAAGTTGGTACTAAACTATTATAAATGCCCCTTTCCTGCCAAAACTAAAGTCATTTATAGTAAATACTGTTTTTACCATGTACCATATACTGTGTACACACACACATATATATATATATTATTTACAACTCTTTGTTAATGAATGCTCCAGCATATTACCTATAGTAAACCTGTACTAAAGTAGTGTACTTGAGTTTTTACTACAGTAAACTGTGGTGTATTGCAGTACAATATTCACTATAGTTGCGGAAAACTACAGTATTGGGTCATTTGTTTATATAACTATAGTTGTTGTGTTACCATAGCAACTGTAGAATCACCGTAACAGATTATTTATTTATATCACTATAATTATTGTTACCATAGCAACTGTTGAATCACAGTAACAGATTATATGTTTATATCACTTATAATTGTTACCATAGCAACTGTAGAATCACCGTAATTATTTGTTTAAATCACTATAATTATTGTTACCATAGCAACTTTAGAATCACCACAACAGATTATTTGTTTGTATTACTATAATTATCGTTACCATAGCAACTTTAAAATCACCATAACAGATTATTTGTTTATATCACTATAATTAATGTTACCATAGCAACTGTAGAATCACAATATATATATATATATATATATATATATATATATATATATATATATATATATATATATATATATATATATATATATATATATATATATATATATATATATATATATATATATATATATATATATATATATATATATATATATATATATATATATATATATATATATATATATATATATATATATATATATATATATATATATATATATATATATATATATATATATATATATATATATATATATATATATATATATATATATATATATATATATATATATATATATATATATATATATATATATATATATATATATATATATATATATATATATATATATATATATATATATATATATATATATATATATATATATATATATATATATATATATATATATATATATATATATATATATATATATATATATATATATATATATATATATATATATATATATATATATATATATATATATATATATATATATATATATATATATATATATATATATATATATATATATATATATATATATATATATATATATATATATATATATATATATATATATATATATATATATATATATATATATATATATATATATATATAGTATATATATACATATATATAT